CTCGGTTTTCGCGAATTTCTCGCGTAAAAAGCGGCCGATCGCAACGAAACGTTCAGTGTCTTCGCGTTATCCAATTTTACACCTACCCTGAAAATTTCATGACCCTGACCCAAATGACCTTTGACCTGTGACCTACTTTTCGAGACCATATTTGGCCGGAATCGCGACTCGGCGTATGTCGGCTCGCATTAGCCGCGCGTTTGCAGTCTTTTCGTGGTTTCAAGCGTTCAGACATGTAATATGATGTTGCTCCCATGCATTAGGGTGGGGTCAAGGTCACCTGAAGGTCAGGTCAGGTCAGGTCAGGTCATTGACCTTTGATGACCTCTGCTCACTTTTTTTTGTAGATGTTTCTAGGCTAGTTTTTGGAGCTGAATTCGAATTGAGCAGCCATTTGAACATTTACGAAGTAGCTTTGTGCCTTCGTTACATGTTACGAAGCTGTCAGAGGCGGTTGACAGTTGACACCTACTACGAATACCCAGCAGGACCCCTACTGGGTGACCTGACCTGACCTGGCATAAATGTATGAAGACATCATCTGTGATCAAAACTAATATGATAATCGTGATCAGTACCCCGAAAAGCCCCATAGCAGCCACAATTTACGACGTTCTAAAAGGTTCCAATTTTCCTGACCTTAGGGTCATTGACATGACCTGGAAGGTCAACCAATGACTTAGGACATTAAAATTAGTTGTCATCGGTTGACGGTTTCCTCTCGTGACGGACAGCACGCTCGTTTTTTCGAGAAGCTCTAGCTCGATCAGGGACGAAACGTCCAGGATATGTTCGCGAGTGGCAAAACAGGAATACGGGCGAGGGTTAGCCTAATTGATAATTATTTCATCTTCATTTGTCATGGCAGAACGTTTGCTTGTATTTTTCGTCACAACTTTTTCTAGATGTTCCTTAATCCTTTTAAAAGCAGTCATGAATATCATTTTATATTATCTCGCCCCCAATCCAGCTATGTCTGCACTCTGCAGGGAACGGCCGCCGTGTCCTGGGTCACTCAACGACGGGCTGTCCGGCGGCGGCAACTTCTGTCCCCCTGCCCGCCCTCCTCCCAGCCATCGACCCAGGCTAGCCCCAGGCTATTCAGCTCAAAGCCTGGCCTAGCCAAATCACCGTCCAGCCAGGGCCCGAATCGCTCCAAGATGCCCGAACAGTGCTCTCCAAGTCGCTGTTCACCGCGCCGCGCCGGTCCATAAAAGTCTCGTCTGACCGCCGTCCGGCCGTCCGGCCGGTCTCAGCAGCTGACGAGTGGAGCCGGCCGTGAACCGAATAGCTACGGACGGGGCAGGCGGCGCGGAGCTAATCGGAAACTAATTGGCCGCCGCTCGCTGGGGCAGAGGACCGCGCGCCGCAGCGACGGCGGACCGACTAAATGGAATCCGCCAGCCTTGGAAACGTACGGCGCTGGTCTTATTGGATTAGCGCCACCACTGCACGGACAGTTAACACTGCAGAAAGGTGGCAAAATCTAAGCTCTGACGGTCTTCGATCAAATAGTTGGTGATAGTTGTTCTTTACTTGCAAGGATGAATGCGTAATTTGTGACCGATTAATTTTTTGTTGCAGAAAGGCGTTTGTATCAGTCTCGTAGTTTGTGTTGTTGTCATGCGGCTGCAATGAGAGAGCGTAAAAGCTCATCTTTTTAGCTCTTCTCTTCATTGACGCCCCGATCGGCAATGACCACCACCGGACCAAGTGGTCCACTCGCCGCAGAGTCAGCGGGCCTGGAGTCCGCACCCGGTGGTCCCGGCTGGATCCGCGGTCCGGACACCGCCATCGACCGCCGCTCGGTCACATCTCTCACCCGTCTGTCACTGGAGAGAGGGGGAGAGGGAGAGGGGAGGGAGAGCGGCTCAGCATCCAGCGATCTGCAGCCGAGTCGTCCAGCCTCGGACTGAACTGAAATCGAGCCAGCCTCTAGGAAATAGCTAAAAAGTAGCCTATGACCTGTGGACCTGAAAGAGAGGCGAGCCGAGCCACCAAACCTCAAAACAAGCCTGAACTGTATGAAATGACTGGAATGAGCAGGGATTGCTGGTTAGCAATTAGGTTAATTAAACCACGACTGCTTAGTTAGGCATTTACACCGCAGGGCCAGTCGTCTAATCTCAGACTCGCTGAGGCTGAGGGCGGTCGCCGCCTCTCCCGACCGGCGAACAGTGACGGCGCCGGCCGGACGACATGTGCCCGTCGCGTCGGTCTGTCGTCGCCGCCTCAAGCCCTTAGTGGCCTAATCAGCGTGCAATCTGGCACGCCGGTGGCGACGACGAGCCGGGCGCGCCACGGTTACCTCGGCCGCACGCGCTCCTAATGACACTGGGGGCGGACAAACCAACTGGACTGGGGACGAATCGACGAACTGGACTGGGGACGGATGGACGAACTGGACTGGGGACGACATCGACGGGGCTGCAGATAAAACGGCGGACTTGGCTTGGCTGAATGAGGCTTGGTGGGACCCGGTGGGACTCGATGAGTCTGAGAGGGACTGCTGGTGGGACCCGGTGGGAGTCGGTAGGACTGTGGAGCTCGGTGTCGCCGCCGCCGATCCGTCAGGGCCACCACGCCGCTGTGGTGTCCCGCTCGTGGCCATCCGTCTCCCGGCCGCCTCAGCCCTGACAGGTCGGCTGACCACGAATACATACCGACAACATGGCCCGGGCATGTCGACACCACTGCCTCCGCACCACTAATACAGGCCAATAATGCAGTATGCCAATAATTCGAGTAGGACACTCGAATGAATGCGGGAGGTAGCGGCTATGGCAGACGAGATTACGAGAGCCACGCCCACGTCGACGTCCGTCGCCTCCAAACTCTGTTCCCGTCGACGTCCGTCGGCTCCAAACTCTGTTCCCGTCGACGTCCGTCGCCTCAAAACTCTGTTCCCGCCCTACACCAACTGCGGACATTCTCATGCTAACGTGAGTAAATTTAACATTGTTCGTGTTATGGATTTGAGATATCACACACGACAAAGGCTAAAGAAGCAGGATACACATCTCACGAAAACACCATAAGCCATTTCTGTCCGACTCGTTGGCGCAGCTGATGTGCGGCGCTGACGCATCTCCCCAGCGCCTGCAGCCTGCCCCCTCGGTCCCGCCCAGGGGCGCAGTGTGACGGAGGCAGTGTGTCGGTCCTCCGAGGCCGGTTCTCAGACCGGCTTTGTGCCGCACTATCACTATGGCGCGGGAATGTGGCGGGAGGACGGGCGCGCCGCTCGAAATACCGCGCGCGCCCGAACAGACGGCGCGCTGGCACAAGACGAGAGAGCGCGAGACGCTGATAAAGGCCGACGGCGCGGGGCCTCGCATGAGGGAGGGGCCTCGCGGCAACGTGACTTTGGTGAGGCTCTATGTGGGCCCTGTCCAACAGGAAGGTAACTGGGGGAGATGTCGCCCTCACAGAGTACTTACCTACGAACAGGACAGGGTGAGCCAGGGCTCCGGCGGGATACGGGAACAAGAAGGTCAGGGCTCCGGCCACGGATGGTGATTGCAAACAGGCTTTTTAATGATGATCATTAGTTGATATACCTAAAACACTATTCACTATAGCTTTGCCTTACCTATTATTGAAAACTGCATGTGACTTGCAATCTTACGTCAATTCGCCCCATAGTTCTGTAAGTATTTGTTTTGACTCTATCGTTTTAGTATTATTATTGAAGTTGGCATCATTGTCTGAACACAAAGGAAAATCACAGCGCCGCCGCGGGCAAAAACTGTCTGTTAATTGGCTGAGGAGTTGAGGGCGGTGGGCGCTGTCAGCTCAGCCTGCCACAGGTTGACGCCGCCCGTCTGGCAGGCGCCGTTCTTTTTGAACGCTCTGCCTCAGGCGGGTGCCATTACACGGGCCGGCCGCAAACAGCCGGCCCTCCCGCTGGCGCCAGCCACCTGACACACGCCGGCTCTTCTTAATCGCCACACGGCCGAGAACCGGCGCCAGCTGACGTCACTAGAGCGCCTGGTGACGTCACAGGTGCAGTCTTGTCTTCCGTTTTCATCAGCGCGCAAAAAAAACATGGGGTACAAAACATTGAATTTGGCTGTCATGAACATGCGTCAAGCTAAAAGAAAAGCAAAACTGAATTATATAAAATGAAATCGATACAAAATACAAACACGAATGAGAAAGCCCTACCTATCACATTATCATCATGGAATAGTAAAAACCAATGAAAATGGGGGTGACAAACACAAGCCAATCGCTTGTCACTCATGTAACATAAGTGTTTTAGTATCGGCGATAGACGAAAAAGGATAGGCTGGACAGATTTTGAAAGTAACATTTGCATAGATATCTACCATAACCATGATTGACTGCTGTTTTCAGATATATTCATTATGCTGCTTACTGTCCCTATGTCACAGTCTGCTACAAATGTACCTATATCTGCTAACGATCGACAGATTATCAGTCCGTTTAGCTGTCAGATTAGCTGTTAGATTGTGCCATGAATGTCGTCGACTGACTGTCGTTATCAGTTCTCAGAGTGACAGACGCCGGAGTGGACCTCACCAGGAGCCCGCAGGTCCCGCTGGCACGTGACACAGGCACGACTACCAGCCAGCGGCTGACGCCAGTCAGACACCAGTCAGCGGATATATATTCGCGGTGGCAGGACACCGTCTCGGACATGACAGGTGCTGATTAACTGCGGCCCTGCGGCGGGACGGGTCGCCGCGCCACTCAGCGGCACTGCGGCGCGACTGGGGATCGACGGAGCGGGCCCTGTGACGGTACTGGGGCCGCCAGAGCGGGCCCTTAGTGCCGACAACCAACTACAGCCGGGAAAATCGCCGTCAGAAATTTTTAGACGGCATTCTTGCAAGGTTTATTGTTGTGCCACCCAATTCAACGTGTATTTATCCTCTATAAATGTTTAAATGGTATCGAATATGGAACGATCCACCCCTGTACATGACCCACCTCTGTGTAGTACCTACAGGCTTCTCCCCCTTCCCCATGTTTCCCACCTGTGAGCGTGCGGGTGCAGTTGGCGTTCTTCGGGTACCGGCCCGGCCAGCCGGGCGAGTAAAACTCCCTCAGCACCTCGTTACCGCGGGTAAAGTTGACACAGGCCGGGTGGGCGTTCAACGCTGCCTCCTGACCTGAAAAAACACCAATATTAATTTTGGTGTCCTATCAAGCATTGTGTAATTGTATACCATTGCATATCAAGTATTGTGTATTGCATTGTATATATCAAGCATTGGTAGGCAATCAATTTTGACTGTGAGATAGTTTATTGTACATACAAATTGTTTGTATCGAATGCTGCAGCACAACCAGTTTGTGCGAAAGACAGCATGGTTCAGAATAGAAGCAATTTCATTTAGGCATAGTATCGAATAATTCACCGCCGTGCCTGTTGATTTTTTCTAGTTTTATCTAATCGACAAATAATTTCTGGTAAAATGAAAGCATACACAATTATTTTGAAAATGAAAAAACCAGCATCATGTATCAGCAATTTCAGGTGACATCGACCATTCAACAACAGATGAATTTCGAGACCACTTACCACAAACCGTTGAAATAAGGACGGCTAGGCTGGCTATGAGTAGTATGTCACCTGGGAAAAAATAGCCACCGTTAAAGTCACATACCTAGTGTTCGAAAGACCAATCACTAATGACTCTCTGTTGTACTTATCTGTATTATATTTATCCACGGGCAACGACACTCGACAGGCGGTAAATATAATTGGTCAATAAATGGCCAAAAGCCCAATGCTAATGCGATCGTGGACTAAGGACAGGAACGGTAAGGGTTCGCTAGGGGCCAAATATGTTCGCTACTTCATTGAGCACGAGAGGCGTTAAGGCAACCCTCTCCCCCCCCCCCCCCCAACACAGCTAAGCAGTTAAATGTAAATAAACTAGCGAATATAGGCATGTATCATACCTATTCATTATCTGACAAAATGATTGACTTAACCCGCGCATGACTGGGGTATTTTCCATAACGCGAGTGACTGGAGGGGGGGGGGGCTCTCCAGAGCCCCCCCCTCCTATCTCCGAAACTACTGGGCCGATCGTCAAAATTCAAACGGCGTCTGATAGCCCTGGAAAAACTGTCGAACGAAACCTATTTTCATTGACCTCGAAGTCACCGATGACGTCACAGGTCAGGTCAAAGTAGAAGCTATCGACATTTTTGTTAGTTCACAATTTAGGCTCTGACCGCCGGACCGCCGGTCCGATCAGGCTCATTTTTGGTTTACGCACTCCTTGACGGATGCCTTAGATATCCTGAGGGTACCAAACTTTTACTTCGAATTTTCAAGGTCAAGGCCAGGTCATCCTAGGTCACGAAAATTGTATATCATGTATCGGTCACGTGACGCATGTTTTATGGTCCATTTTACTCGTAGATTTCGAAAATAGTGTCGTCTGTGTCATTTGAGGTCATTGTCAGCTGAATTTACCGGAGGTCAGGTAACTTTCAGGTCAGAAAAGTCAAATTTCGAAAATGAAACTTTTCAACAAAAAAGGTGCCTATCAGATTCAGTTTCAGCTCAGGAACACGATGGTGCCATTTATATTGTTGTACGACGTCAAAAACGTACAGAACAAATGGATTTGAAAAACATGAAATTGTAAAACTTTGACAATAATGCGAAGAACTTGGCTATTTTTGAAGATATTGGGCTTAAACTTGCAAATGTAGTTTATCAGTGTGTGTTCTATCACATATATTCCGTTTTTTGCGAAAAGTCAAAAAGTTTTTGAAAAAAATCAATAAAATATATTTTTTGTAATTGTAAATAAATATTTTTCAAAATTTTCAAAATTTCGAAAATTCGAGATAGCAGTTCGATAGCTACGTGTATTTTTAGTCCACTCATGCAAAGAAAATGGATCTAGCCTTAAAACTGAGCTCTTGAGAGCGTTTGCCGTAATTCAGTATTTTGCATGAAAATCGGCCGACATGACGTCACTCTGACGTCATTTCCGGCTAAACTATAGAAGCTAGAAAGTTGAAATTTTAACACAAGGTGTCAAATTGATGCCTCTGAAAGTACCGCAAGTTTCGTGTTGATCCGTCAAATCGTTTAGAAGATATTGCTGAAAAACATGAGGAGGGGGCTCTGTAGAGCCCCCCCAGTCATGCGCGGGTTAACCCTATTAGTGGCAGGCTCCTGGCTACCCCATATTAGTGGCAGGGGGGGGGCTGTTTACGACCCCCCTTGATATCTCGAGATCTAACGGGCCGATTTTCAAAATTCAAACGGCATTCGATTTGGCTCAACGAGATCTACATTTATAAAAAAAATAAACTTAAAAAATGTCAATAGGGGGGTAGAGGGGGGTAAAAAAGGGCAAATTGCAGATACATTTTAGACTGTTTATCACGGCCAGGTTTCTGAACCAATCTTAACGCAACTTTTGCCGATCGATAGAGAATGAACCAGGAATTCACATGGATCCTAAAAATATGCATTTTCAAAAATCATAGGCGGATACAGATCATTGAGATTGGGGGTACACAAAAAGTATAGTAAATAAGGTTTTTGTTGGTACTGTTTCTAAAAAGGGTGGCAATGGTCTTGTTATGTTACAATTTTCTTATGAGAGAACGACTAAAATTGTATTGGTCATGCATAGGCGGTGTCAGGGCACCTATGTTGGGAGGTAAAAAATAGCCCCCCTTTTTGGACGCCTGGATCCGCCTATTATAGCAAAAACGTGTCAAAAGAGGATGCACAATAACTTTGTATATGTTATCACATGATACCTTTCATTCACTGTTCGTAAAAATGGTGCAGCATCGTGATCTTCGCCCAAATGACTCGCTTTACGAATAGGACCCCCCAATTCCCAGTGCTCTGGAGCCGCCCCTGGTAAAGTTATGAACTTGAAATTTTCAGGGAATGTGCCCAATTTAGTTTTAGGAAAAGTCAGAAAATTTCAGCATCGTAGCTTCAGTGGTTTCGGAGATATTCCCGAAAAACCTGAGGGGTGGATAAAAACAACCCCCCCCCCTGCCACTAATAGGGTTAAAATGAAGACGGCATCGAAGTTGTAACGCGTACGGAAGTTGTAAGTACGGCGGCACAGCATGGGTTAGGCGGCATGCACGGCGGCACAGCATCAGTTCAGGCGCTCGATACCAGCACCATCTAGGGAGGGAAGTTGAACATACCTTCAGACTCAGCGGGGCGCTTGGATTGGAAAGGGTTTCGGCATTCATTTAACATCGAGTTGTGATGTTTTACTGATTGGTCAGTATACAGGTAGATATGATGCAATATTTAACACGCGCAGTGGAAGGGTTGCGAGTACTACGCCCAGTGGATGTCGCCCCCCCCCCCCTAAGATCTCAGCTCCCAGTGGAGCTAGAAAGACGAAATTTGGAGGGTAGGTGGGGGCCTTGGGGAACTCTGTTGTGTGAATTTTATGACCCTAGGTCAATATCTTCAAGGTCAAATGAGGTCAAATGTGGTCAAATCTGCCATAAGAAGGACTTTTTTGCGTTTACACGCCGATAAATCAAAAATTTACCAGCCGATTTTCTTTTTCTTTCATTATACGAAAGATCATACATCTGAGAGTATGTGTGGTAAATTTCTAGTTGATCCAACAATAAATATGGCAGTTAGAAGCCTGCTAAGGGTAAGATGTCGCCGGCTGAAGCGGGATCGGCCGACGCGGGAAAAGCGGCAATCACAATTTTGTGTTTACACACTCATAACTCAAGTATTTACCGGCCGATTTTCAAAATTCTTTGACCATCAGCTTGTCTGGACATTTCTTAGTCTTCTTACAAAATTTGACGCGAATCGAATTTAATCAGCGGTAAGGAGCGCCATGTAAAGACGGAACCGTCCCGCCCCGGCACAGTCTACAATTCAGGCGGCGCTTAACGGCTGGCGCCGGCCGCCGCGCCGCGGCGCCGCGGCGGCGGCAGGATGTTTGACTTTACACCGCCATTACTAGAAAAGTTGTGAACCGATTTTCTTATTTTAGCACGAGAAGATCCGCAATTCAATTTTGGACAGGTAGCAAAACTTTCACATTAATATTGTGTTTGCGGCGCGAGTTATTGGCGAAAAACAGGAGGGGTGGGCGAAATCCACCCCCCCCTTCCACTGCACGTGTTAAGAGAAGCAACAATTAGTCATGTAAATACAAACAAAGCTCAATCAGTAGGTACTAAACCCTCGCCCCGTTGGGGGGGGGGGGATTTTGCCCCCCCTGTGGTTTTTCCTGAATAGCAAGAAAACGGAAGCGCGCAGCACCGCCAAATTTTTAGTACCTTCCCGGGCATCAATTTGACACCTTCACACCAAATTTCAAGTCTTAGGTCACCTTAGGTCAGGAGTTATTGAGGTCAAACTGAGGTCATGTTCGAGCAAAAATGAGCAAAAAACATGCAATCTTGAAACGCTCACCAAATCTACAGTTATCAAGCAATTTCAAAGTTCTTTATATGGTCTAGTAGACAAAAAACGGCGCTACAGAACTGCTATCTCGGATTTTCGAAATTTTGGGTTTTCGACCCCAAAAAATTTAAAAAATTGATTTTTTTAGAAAAACTAAAAAAAAATCCAAAATTTTTCCGAATTTCGTAAAAACCGAAATATATGTGATAGTCCCTGCGCTGTTCTATATACATGCCAAATTTCAGACCGATATCTCTTTTTTTGGCCAAGTTATAGCGACAAAACTGTTCAAAAATGATGACGTCAAATTTTTGAACTCAATTTTTCGCGATTCTAGACCACGTACGGCAAAACAAAGACCACCATTGAACTCCCCGTGACGAGCTGCATCGATTCGATACCCATTTTATGCAAAAATATTAACTTTGAAATTTGACCTAATTTGACCTGACCTTGACCTGACCTTGACCTGACCTTGACCAAAACGTGACCTAAGCTGGCCCCAAAGGCTGCCTGACCCACATAATCGCATTTGTCATGTAAAATGGACCATAAAACATGTATCACACGACACTTTCATATTGTGACCCCCCCGTGACCTGACCTCTGTGACCTGACCTGGTATCAGTGACCTCAAATAGCAAAATATGTGTTTGAATAACATTTCCCCCATCGATGATTTTCAATGAAATGCATTTTACTCGATTTTACAACGCATTCCTTGAAATGCCTGTAAACGGTGAAAATTGGACCTTTGACCTGACCTGTGACGTCATCGGTTTGACCTAGGTCAATAAAATTGGGTCACAAGGTAGTTCCCTGATAGGGCTATCCAACACCGTTTGCCGCTTGTCGCTAGGTTGCGTGGTTCTCGAGATCTTAGGGGGGGGGGGGCCAAAATGCCCCCCCCCCCCCAACGGGGCGCGTTGCTCGGCAGAGCCCAACGGGGCGCGGGTTAATAGTGGTATACACACATTGGTACGCTTTAGGTACATACGCAGGAATATAGCATTAGTCATGGACGGTGAAATATTAGCGAATGTTAGTGGTAATAAAAAGGATCTATCTGGTAACGTATGTATCGAGAACAGATTTCCAACTGAGGAACTTCAATGTGTCATTAGCTATAACCGCACAACAGCACACAATGGACCGCCAGTCCAGCTGATTTGTTCCTGCTATTTAAT